TATGTAATTTACATGAAATATACCCCTGAATTCCAGACAAAATAACCTCTCCACGTGGCCACACGATGTGAGCTGTTACATTCGCGTGACTCTTGAGTGACTTGCTTTTCACTTTTTCGATGCGTTATAGCAAGATTTAACTCTAAGATTTTATTCCCCATCAGCAAAATGTTCCACAGAATGAACTGCCGAGCGAGCGATTTATGTCTTCGACGAATGGGTTTACATAGATTCCTTGTTCGCGCTGTTTCTTCAAATGGTTTTTTTACGAGTCGGAATCGAGAAAATCACTCAATGTGGTGCTTCGAAAGGAATAGATGGAAATATCTTGTAAATTTACAGAAAAGATTCCTGCAAGACGGAAGGACAAAGGTAAAAAAATCGCTCAATACTTTGTCCATGACTGGCTCTTTGTTTATGTTTTTTTTTCCTGTTTAGCGGAGCGGAAGCAAGGGGGCAGGGCGAGTAGGGCTGGGAGGCTGGTGTTTTCTTAATTAGTGAGGCCGGAGGGGATGGATGGATGAAGTAGTATTCTACTGTATCTTGACTAAGGTTTTTTCATCCAGAAAAGCTAAACGTCTGGATATAAGATAAAGTAGAATAGTAATTAGTTTGGATGTTTTGGTTGTTGTTGTATCGGATCATGTGTACTGTAGGTTGCCTCGGTCGACATGTGGGCCGATACATCGGCCGATATATCGGTCGACTGTCAAGGTACTTGTCGACCGACTATCGGTCGATAGTCGACCGATATTTGACCGATGCTTGACCGATACTTGACCGATACTTGACCGATGCTTGACCGATACTTGACCGATACTTCACTGGCAGTTAATCGATACATATCGGCCGATGCATCGGCCGTCAGTCGGTCGATATATCGGTCGACTATCAGTCGACTATTGACCGACTATCGACCGACTATCGGTCGATGGTCGACTGTCGGCCGATATGTCGATCGAGGCCACCTATAGTACACATGATCCGTTGTATCAAGGATGTTGCTTTAGCAGTAAAAAACTATTGTACTGGGCTTATCAGACTTCACCAGAACTCTTCTATGGGATAATCAACATATAGATTCCATATTGTGGTGCATCAGTTCAATAGCAGATCCCAAATGATGTCAAAATGTGGTAAGAACAAAAAAGTGGCATACAAAAGAGTGTGTCACTGAGTGTTACCACATTTTGACATCTGTTGTGATCTGTTCTTGAACAAATGCACTGCAAATGCAAATGAAACATGATGATATCATCTTTGCATCAGTCCTCCGATAGATCTCAAGTACCAAACAAATTGTTTGTACAATCCAGCTTACCCAATACAAATTAACACTGCATACAACTCAACACCAGCATCTTGGCACTTAGCAAAAGTGAAACCTGTCCTTTCTCAGTGTCATGCCTCACGTAATAATTTCCTGTCATCTTATACTTTCCTCCTAACTGCCCTCAGGATATGTTAGACTGACTTGATGCTTCTAATAAACAACCATTTTCAATTTTCACTGTTACTTCACAAGGGTGACAATATTATTCTTATGGGAAGTCCTGGTGCAGGAAAAACTTCTGTTGGAAGAATCCTTGGGAGACATTTGCAGAGGGAAGTTCTTGATATTGATGATGATGTCTTGGAGAAGGTGTGGGGAATGACAGTTGCAGAAAAGGTAAATTATATCTTGCAGCTGTGAAGAATATCCACTATAGAAATAAATTAAATAACATTTGAACTTGGAGCACTGTAGGGCCATGTTTTGTTGTTGGTATTCACAAGTATAAAAGCATAAAACAAATCGTCATTTTCTCGAAAAGTATGCTTGTTCTTGGGTGTAAATTGAATTTTAAACTTTTTTGACATCTAGTTGTCTCAAGTGGGCTCTGATGGTTTTGTTGAAGCAGAGGGGCAAGCATTGTTGCAGTTCTTTCCCAACAATGCAGTTGTGTCTTTGAGTGGGTCCAATCCAATGCATGCAGCAGCCATGGATCACACCAGATCACTTGGAACTGTTGTGTACTTGGATGTGGCAGATGAAGAGATATTGAATCGTCTGGCTGCTATGAAAGTAAACAGGATTGTTGGACAGAATGAAGGTAGGAAGGTCATGTATCGGGTAGTGTGTAATTTAGTGTTAAATTCTTGGTGTGAAAGTTATAATGGATGTGTGGTAGACAGTGTAGAGAATTGATGCTTTGATCACAGGGTGGGTGGGTTGACTGAAATGTTTATCAGGTCAATAGTGGCAAGTTCTTTTAAATAACTGTTATGTAAAGATTAAAAAAAAAATCAGATATAAATTTTTGGGACTGGTTATTATTTGCTGCCAGAGGAGAGGGGAAGGGCAGGGGAGGGGGGGGGGAAGGGAGGTTTGGAGGATTTTGATTTTGTCACAACAAAATTTACCTGATGCCCCAAAAGAAAGGGCTCTGTCATATTATTACACGCCCTCCCTCCCCGCTTCCTCTTTCATGGTCCTTCCATTATACTCTGTTAGCGACGACTGATTCCCCTACATTCCCCCTGAAAGCTATATGATCCCAATTACCCTCCCCCCTTGCAGGCAATAAATAACAACTGTTCTCAAATATTTGTGTTTTATGATGTCCAATCTTTGTCTTTTTAGGTATTAGTATGAATGAAATTCTTCAGTATCGTAAACAGTTTTACGAATCTAGCTATGACGTTCGTGTCATCTGTGCCAATGGAGACTCCATCGAAGAAATTGCCAGCAAAGTTCGGACAAGTTTGGCAGAGTTAAGCATCGATCAGGGATTTACAAGCACAAGACAGGAACACTCTGACACTGGTGACAGTCCAGGATTTTTACGAGTGGTGTTAGAAGGACTGGCGCCCGACGGAGGACTATACGTACCCAAGAAAAAGATACCACACTTTACTGAAGGTGAGATCATTCAGTAATTTTTAATTGAAAGTTAGGCAGCATTCCTTAAGTTTGTTTTACATCGCCGTTTGATTTGTCAACAAAACTCGCGCTATCCTTACAACTAATCAGATTCAAAACTGAAAAGTCAGTCCCAACTTGGTCACCCACGTTTTCCCGCGCTTCAAGGAATTCGATCGTTTGATCGACAGTCAATCGAAAAATGCTTAATACATATAATAATACTAAGAGAGAAAGTGAACACTATCCCATTATTATGTCGACGATCAATCGTATCAAGACGAAAAGTCAATTATTTCTCGATTTCTTTCCGCTTTATAGGTCAATGGGAAAGGCTTGTAGACTGTAGCTACCAAGACAGAGCTTTGCGAATTCTAGAAACATGGATTTCACCAAGCGAACTTCATCCGTCAAGTTTGCGCCAAATGGTTTACAAGGCTTACTCCAGTAATTTCCAACACGAAGGAGTTGCCCCAGTTGTCAAACTTAACGAGCAGTTCTATCTACAAGAACTATTCCATGGACCTACCGCCTCTTTTAAGGACATGGCTTTGCAGTTGACACCGCAGTTTTTTAGCGAAGCTATCTCTCGAACGTGTTCCTCTGATGAAGATCTTAAACGTCTCATTCTCGTTGCCACATCAGGAGACACGGGTAGCGCGGTGCTGGATGGTTTTAAAGAGAACTTTGATACTGATGTCCTCATTCTCTACCCAGAGGAAGGTGTCAGTTCGATCCAAAAGGCGCTGATGGTTTCGTCTGATGGTCAAAATATGCGCGTGATCGGAGTGAAAAGCGACTTCGACTTCTGCCAAACTGCAATTAAGACAATCTTTAACAATATGTCGTTTAGCAAGAAACTAGCAGAGTCGTATGGTGTACAACTGAGTGCGGCGAACTCTATAAACTGGGGAAGATTATTACCACAAGTTGTTTATCATGCCTCGGCATATTTGGATCTTGTTCAATCTGGAGTTATCTCCATGGGCGAGGAGGCCGATTTGTGTGTACCAACAGGAAACTTTGGCAATATTCTGGCTGCCTACTATGCAAAGGTTAGTAAATAAGAAGCACACTTCAGAAACCACACAACAATTATCTTTGCCATTGAATAGGAAAATGAAGATGATGATTTGAACTGTTTTGTGAGATTAGAAAGAGGAAAGTCTCCTAGAATTCAAGGCATAAATGTTTCTCTTTATTGTGTACAGGAAATGGGAATACCTCTCAATAATCTGATCTGCGCTTCCAACGAAAATAACATTCTTACAGACTTCTTTCACTCTGGTTCTTACGACATGAGTAAACGAAGGATTCAACAGACCC